AAATTTTAAAGGTAACTCTGTATTTTTTCTTTAGTCTTCCGTAATACCTATCTTTTATCCTTAGCTCGACCCAAAAAGAAAATTTGCAAAACGAGGGCATATTTCACTTATCATCCACTTTACACGCAACATCAACTAGTCCACTTGTCTCGCTGTATCTGTCCGCCCAAAAAAAAAAAGGGGGAAAGGCGGAAAAATATTTGTTTATCTCCACACATGTATCTAACTATGCTAGGCTACATGGCTGCATTTCCTGCCATCCTTACTCCGCACTCGAACCTCTGGCGAATTCGAAACCGAAAATGGGGAAATATGTATGCGAATCCTTGGCTTGCCTCAGGCGTGTTGTGTTTCTGTTCTGGCTTTGATTTTGATTTATGTTGCAGCAAACACAGGCAGCCGAAGTAGAAGAAATGGCAGTCGCCGTGGAACAGCCCCGGCAACCTCATTTGCTACTTACTTTGTCGCATCATTTCACCACGGAGCACCAGGAACCGCCAGGACCTCAGCCAGACAACAAACAACAATGCATGCCAACGCATAGAAGCTGTGATTTCTTCTTGTTGTCCCTGCTCCTGGCGTTGTTGTCCCGCAGGATTCTCACAGGCGACAGGGTAAATGTTTGCCATCCCTCGAAAGCTTCTCACATAATTGTGGTGTCGGTTGGCGGTGATGAAAGTGCCAGTGGAAGAGCATTCCTTCTGCCTTATTCCGAATGTGGAGTGTCCTTTTCACGGCTTCACTTGAACTGCCTAGGAACTGTAGATCAAATAACTTTTATATTTAGTTTCTTATCTTTACTTAAACTTCCTAGAATGTTGAATAACTAAGTATTTCTTTTTATTGTTAAATTGCTTTCTGTATTTAGTTTCTTATATTCCTTCAAATGGTTTTCCCTGCGGATAGTGTATACTTGGCACTCGCATTGTGAGTGTTTTCGCTTTATAAAATGCAACATTTGGCAAAGCGACAAACTTGCTTTTAGCCCAACTCGAAGCTGTGTAATATTTACTTATACGTTTTTGTGGGGGCAAAACTACGCGTAACGCTTTGTTTGACTTGAATTTATGGTGATGTTTCTTTTTTACTTCGGCTGCTTTTTTTTTTTTGGCAAACTCCCAGCTGACTCATGGCGAAGTGCCTGAGCCTGGCAGACAGTGCACTGTCTGGCTGTCCCGGCGCTATTTCCAGAAATGTTTTAATTTCCTTGGCTCGACACAATAATTTACACACTCAGACCGGCACACACTTCCTTACAGCTGGCTGCTCGGCCATAAAGTCCTTGTTTGACTTGCATTCCGGCCAATAATTATGTTTGCACATTTTATGTAGTCAGCGGCACTGCTTATTAAAATTTATATGACAATTCGTTAGTTTGTTGCCCGGTCCCAATAATTCATAGAGTTTTTGTTATATTTTTTTACTGCCGGAGAAGGATCCTTTGTAGTGGCTACATTTTTGGTTTTATTTGCCATCATATCTCTGCTTTTGCCTTTAACATATGCCCATCAAAATTGATTGCATACTTTTTGGCGGCTGCGCCTGTTTATGTGGTTAGTGAGCCGCAAAGCACGTAGTAAAAAGTCCTATCTTGGAATGACTTCATACTTTTTATGATTTTAACAGTAAGTTCGCAAAAAAAGAAGAGAAAACGAGATGTTTCTCGATCATAACTTTTCGCTTTTATACTGATGTCGTTATGTACCCTGAATAACTTTGTATTCAATACTTTTAATGAAGTTTCAGATTTGTATGCGTGGAGAATGTCTTATATTAAATAGTATAAAAATTTCTTTAAATCATGTTTTGATAAAACAAAGTCTTAAATTGACAATCAAGAGTCCCTTTCAAGTCTGAAAATAATATTTTAATGGAACCTCAAGTCCCAGTCTAATCCCAAGCCAAAAAGCAACTGTGTGCGGTCTGGCTGCCTTTACTAACAACTAATTGCCTTCATGGACTACTGACAAGGACTCACTCCTGACCGACAGGGCAGCTTAAGAGCCTTGCTTCCCTTCCGAATTCCAGGAACATAAATCGCACAACTCAAAACTAGAATGCACCAAAGAATAACCATAACCACTGGTTTTAAAAATGGAGTGTGCAGCTGCAAAGGGAATTTTCCATTAACGCACGTGTGCTGGAGTCGAAGACCAAGACCTGTTCTGCTTGCCACATTGCAACGGCAAAAAAGAAGAAGGAATTCGGGTATGCCGGTCTGAGCCAGAGTTAGGAGGGAGGGTCTGCAGCATCGCAAACTGACTGACAAAACCTCAACGTGCCACTAAAGCCATAATCATGCACTTAACTAAAGCCCGGCAAAGGAAGCTGTAACCGTGCGGAGGTGGGGTGTTCCAGGTGCCGAGTTAACGCACGTAGAACTTAAGTCATCATCATATAAATAAAAATTTATGACTTTAAATGTGTTTCTCCGTGGGTTTGTTTGTTTGTTTGTTTGCTCGCTTGTGGCCTGTGGTTGCTTCTTGTGGGTGTGGTGGCCCCCTGACTCTTGGTTTATCACCGGGGGAGGTGCTTTTGAGGGGGTGAAGACGACATGCATGACTCTGTCGAAAGGGTAAAATTTAAAAATTGTATGGCAACCAGGTGAGGATTTGTCGGGAAACACAGAAACTTTGGGTAATGGAAGAAAAATTATATAAAATATTCACGAGTGTGATAAACATTTAGGAAAACTGGTGTAAGCCAGAAAGCTGGAAAGTGTCTTTCAAGAGTCACCAAAAAGTTTAAAAAAAGTATGCATATTGGTCTAGGTTGTGGAATTACTCCTTCTGCTACTCTTTAAGAAACAATAACTAACTTTTAATAAATCAAGAAATGACAAATAAAGGAAATAAACTTGTTTAGAAGTTAATATATAGTAAGTGTACCAGAAAATGCTTTGTCCCCTTAAAAGTGACAACGACAGCATCTTGGGTGACCTTTCAAGTGCCCCCAATTACACATAATATTCATGGGGAACATCTTGCAGCTTACGAGTTTCTTCACAATTATGACAACCGACAGCTTTTACTTTCTCGTACTTAAACGTATCCTGAAATGTAAATTTCAGTTCCGTGCGGGGAGATGGTAATGCGAGAAACTAACAAGAGAAAGCCGCTTGCCGGGCTACTTTTCAAGTTAAAGTTATTATCCGGGGGCAGAGCCACTTGCAGGACTCGGCCCGCCCCTGCCCACCATTCCCTTTTGTGCGACCTCATGCCAGACTTGACAAAACTCGGCAGACTTTTGAATAAATTTTCAATCTCCAGGACAACGGGGGCCGTGGGCGTGGACGCAGGGGGATTGCAGGGGAAACAACAACAGGGAAAATCAGCATTATGAATATGTAGCTACATCTGCTTAAATGTATCTGGCCCTGTGCCTGTGTTGTTGGCTAAGTGAAAAGCCAAAGCCGAGTTGCGCTTGCAACATTTTTAAAAGCGGCTTTACTTTCCCTCTAAGACGCCAACTTTATTAAATTTTTTTTTTTGGGCTGGCTAAAACTTTCTACCAGCTGCAGCCGACAATGGAAAAAGAACTATCCAAGCCGGGCTGGAAGTTCCCTGGCTGGCATCCTCCTGCACTTCTTGTTCGGCTTGATGTTCTCCGTTAAATGCTTTTAGCCGCTTTGTGATGGGAACTTTCCCCAAGAAGTTTCCTCGAAACGAGGCGCTGGTTTGGCCGAAATATGATTTCATTTCTGTTGATTCGGGATAAGCAATTTTAAATAATTAAGCCACTAAACAGCTGATAACAAATCCCCAATTAAACCAAAGACAATTAAATTTAATGCCTCCAAGATGGAGAAATGTCTCCATGCCGGCACAATGCGCCCGAGCGCGAAGTGCGACCATTTCTCTTTGTGGTCAACCGCCATTAACGTTTATTACACCCACCGAGTGCCAGCAAAAACCAAAGAGCACAGGAACCGAAAGGAGGCCCCCAAATGGAAAAAGCAAACGAAATAAAGAAGGCAACAACGGCAATGGGCGAAAAAATATAATTAAAAATAAACATTACGCGGCGACAGACAATGAGAAGAAGCCCGGGGAAATTCACAAAACCACAAGAAAAAAAAAAAAGTGAGAGAGAAGAAAACCGAAGAAAAGACGACTGAAAAAAGCGAAGAAATGTGTAATAAAATGAAAGCAGCAGCCAGGTGAAAATTGCATTAGTCTGGGCCAAGGAGATAAGGACAAAGGATCGGAGGGTTTTTGTGCAGCAGCATTTTAGGCGCCTAATTGAGCGTTTTAGTTATGCTAATTGTTTGGGAACAACAAAACCCGGACTAATGGACAGGTGCGAGATGTCTCCCAGCTCGCATTTATTGTTTGCCATTTGTTATAAGTGGACGAGAGAGCCCGAGATCATTAGGTCCTGGCAGCAAGTGGCCTGGTTTCTGGAAATTGGGTTGTTTTCCCAGCATTCGGTCTTGATACGCTGATAAATGTGCGCCAATTAATTGTGTTATTGTGTGGAAAGAAGCGATGAATAAGGTTACCCATTACGGTAACCATTAGGTGAGGATTGAAGAAAAGCAATTTAGTTATGCGAAACAAGGGGTTTGTATATGTAAATGGCTATTCCCAGAAGGTATCTCTGAAGTATTGCTTAATTAAATATATTTACCATTTACCTTTAGGCATCTCAAATAAAACAATATACTTATTTTCATCGCTTTGGTTTTTTATTTTGATTATCTACCGTAAATACTTATATGATACATATCTGCCTTCCACTTTCCTCCACCTTTTCACTTCGTTTATATAATATATACAAATACAATACATATATACTGTCACATATATAGGCAATATTTAGACTTAATGGCTAGTTGCTTACGTTTGCCTCTCAATTCTCTTCATTCGGTATTACATTTAGGCGTAGTATGTATATATAACTTTACATAATACATATACATATATATATAAATACCATTTATATGATTTATAAATAATCTTGACTTTGATATATAAATGTAAATGTAAAGAGAACAAAAAATTAAAAGCTTAGCACAACATTATTTTTCATTTTGGTTTTTCATCTGGTTTTTCGAACCGGAGTTGGCAGATTGGTTTCGAAGTGGCTCCCAAGATCCAATCAGGTTAGGTTAAAATCTCAAGTCCAAACCATTGTCAAGCATTAGTCCTAAAGCCTTTCAATACGTTTGCAAACCTCAAGTAGGTGTGCAATGGAAACCAATTCGCACCTCCTGGCAATCCCCTCTATGTGGGAATAACTAAACCGATGAGATTCGCAGCATTTATGATGAACTGGCGCTAGGCTGGTAATTAGTATCTTTATCCTTTTCTTCAGGGGCGCCACAAAGGACTCTCGTGTCTCCAAGTCACTTGGAAAGGGATCTAGTCGCTGTTTCGATGTTTTGTTGCCAAAGCCATATTTTTAATGAATAAGTGTGTATATTTAGAGCCCTTTTCATGTGAATTCGAGTCACTGGAGGACCTTCGGTGCGACTTCCCTGATTGTCTTGTTCGGCTTTGTATTCTTTCCTTAAATGCATTTGAAGTTACTTTGAGCTAGCTGAAACGAGTGTCTGGTGTGTTAGTGTAGGTGTGTAAATATTTAGATACATTTAGCAGTTGCTTTTGGGTCTTGGCCTTGGGCTAAACTCCACCCACATCCCCTATCTATGCTGGACTCCCACATTCGTCGCCGCATCCGTTTCCGATTCCGCCTCGGCCTCCGCATCCCTTACCGTCCCTGAAATGTGGCACTCGAGTTGCATGACAATTGAATCATGTTAATTGCCCAACGCATCTCCAGTTGTTGTTGCTGCCGCTGCTGCATCCTTTCCAGCTGGACTTTGACGCCCGCAGGCTGCAGTTCCCGTCCAGCTGCAGCGCCCGCATCTCCCCGGGCCTTGTTCGGCGGACTGCGTGCCTCCTGGTGCGGATGCTCCGGCTGCTGCCGGAGTCGCTGGTGTTGCTCGCCTTGCTGGTTGCACCGCCGGCCTTTGTCATCGCCTGCAACGGCGACACTAATTGCCCTCCGACTGCCCAACTAAACGTCGCCATCAGTGATCCCCCGCCCAGGGCCAGCAGCGCCCAGGATTGACTCTGGCACGGACGCGAGCCCGTCGACGAACCAGCGCCGCGCCAGGCGGCTCCTCCATCCTCCACGCCGCCCTCCGTTCCGTCGTCTTCTTCGCCTGAGGGTACAAAATGAAAGAGAAAGTCTAACGAAAAATAGAAAGAAACGCAGACAAACGCAGGGCATGTATTCGATGTATTCTGGTAGTTCGCTTTGTTCGTCTGTCCAACTACAGGCGAACTTGGCTAAGATGGGTCATTAGTTTCTAGGTGGATTGCCTCAATAGGATATTGTGTTGGGTTTTAAATAAAGGTAATGTATACTTAATAAAACGCAGAGGTTTAAATAATGCATTTAAAATGACAAATATGAGACTTAGACCCTGACTAACAAATAAAAATGTGTAGTACTTATTGAGTACCTATTAGACCCCTCTTAAAACCTTCTTTCTTATAAATTAAAAAAAATAAAACATGTCTTCTTGACCAGACTCTTTGTCAAATAGGTTTCTTGCAAACAAACCTCCTTTTTCAACTTAGCCAAGATCGACTGTAGCTGGAACTTGGACTTTTTCGAGTGCTCGTGTATTGTGAGTGGAGTGTCAGGCACTAATTGGCTGCTCAACTCACCCTGCAGCTGTGTCAGGTAGCTGTTCTTCTTGCTGTGGAACTGCTCATCCTCGTGCAGCGTGTACTGGTCATAGAACTCGTCGGGACTGACCCGGTTTCCGCTGGCCCCGCTTCCGTACTTGCCGAACGGATCCACCTCGAGAATCGTCTTCTCCGTGGTCTTCCAGTAGACATCGTGCAGCTGAGCGCTGCACCGGAGCTGTGTAACATAGAAGTTGACGAATTAGGAATAAAAATCCTACATTTTGAGGATTTTTATCTTACCTTTAGCTTGCCGTTGTCAAAGTGCTGATCTGTGACCACAAAGTGAATGCCCACTATGGCAGTTTGCATGTCGTTGTGGGGATCTTTCAGCAACTTATGGTGACGCACGTGGGCGGGATTTACCTAAAAAAAAAAACACAGAATATTTATATTAGTATTTAAAAATATATAATATGCATTTTAGAGTTCATTAAAAGATTTTTAAACCTAGGTTAAGCAGTCTCAGCCCTTTTTTGGCATCGGAAAATCATATCCTTTGCCGCTACCTTTCCCATCTCTTGACCCAATGGGGCCTGTGAATTTGATTGACTTCATGCCTGCAAATTAATTTGCCTTATGCCCCAAAGGGGTGCGCTCCTTCAACCGATTCGTGGATTTTTTTTTGTGTTTGTACAGCAATCGCTATCTAGTGGTTCGTGTTACGCGCTTATTCCGCTGGTTTGTCGGCTGGTTTTGGCGGTATGTTTTTGTTTGGCTTATTGTTTAAGCGCATTTTGTGGCCTGCAATGCTGCTGGTTGAAGGACGTCGGGCGGTGGAGGGGATCTGCTGGGGGCTTTGGGGGTGTTGTGAATTGGGACAGGTTCGCACAAGCAATCAACCGAGCGTGGCCAACTCAACTCAATTCGACAACCAATTCGGCGGCATTCGCTTCGCCATTCAAACGGGGCATCTCCACAGTAGTCTGTGTGGGTGTGTTGAGAGCCCATTGGTATGTGTGCGTGTGTTTCAGCTTTGTTTTTCCACCACCCACTAGCCGCCACCTCCCAACCTACTGGTTGACGCCCACTTTCCGGTGTGGCTCCTATTATGCAGCATCAATAAGCATTGTTTGCCATTGAGTGATGCTGAAATTGCCGCTGCCTGATGCCTTCACGTCGTGCACCGAAAATAATAATGTATATTGATTTGTAATACAATTTTAAGAATTTGTGATAAATTTAACTTTCTATTATATTTCGGCAGCTATAACATTAAACAATTCATTTTAGATTAGTAAACCTTCTTAGCTTTTATGTATATTCTTAAATATTATAACTATTGCCAGATATACGTAAATAACCAATAAATAAATAACTAAACATTTATTACAAATTATTTTTTTCGGTGTTTCTTTCATCTCTGTCCATTTTCTGTTCCCTGAAATTACTGTGTGTGTGTTCACAGGATATGTAAGCTAATTACTTAGGCATGGAAATTTTATAATTTCAGTTTCCATATGGCTGGCGTGAGGTTTACGCCAAATTTAACTTTGGCCAGAATCGGAATCTAAATTAGAATCTTCTTTAAAGCCTGGAAATTCCAAGAGAAGAGGCACTGCAGTGATTCATAATTTGAGGTATTATATTGCAATTTATAAATAGACGAAAGCTTGGACTTATTTCTCTCCCAAATAAACTCCCAATTAAAATTCTAAGAATTTAAATTTTTATCCTATCTGCGTAATGGGTCTATCAGGGTCACCCCTAGCCCCTCCGAACACGCTTGGAGTTGACATCCACAATTAGCGGGCGTGGGCCACGACAAGTGGCCAAAATAATTGAGAAATGTAACATGCAAAACTGCGAAAATTGTCCCCAGACTCGAGGGCCCTCTCTTAATTCCGCACATTTCCCAGGCCCATTTTCGTTTCCCCAATCGCCCAGATATGTATGTAAATATGCATATGGTAGCGCGATGCCTACAAAAAATTACACCTAAAATTTTGACGTTCCCAGGATGGGCGGCATAATGTATGGTTATGAAGGGGGCGTGCCACCACTGCGTTGATCTCCACAAATGCGTGTGTTTTTCTGGTAATTACAGTGGGGGCTTAACCCTTTAGTCCGCCCCGCCCTCCTCGAAAACAGACGCATAAATTCCGGGCAGATGCCAGCGCTTGAAAACAAGAAAATTGTGTTTGCATAAACATGGGCGCTGGTGGGTGGTAGAGTAATGCTAAGGCTAAGGGGCGGACCACTCACCTCTTCATTATTCACTGTCCATGTGAGATTGGCCGCCGGTCGCGAGTGACGCGATGTGCAATTACCTCGCAATATGTCGCCGACCCTATATCGGGTATGGATGCCCGATATGGACGGAGCGTTGTGCGGCGGCTCTGTAGGCGAAAAAGAGAGAGAAAGAGAGAAAGAGAGAGAAAGGAAAGATGGCATCAGTTCACAGGTGGACTGGATCGATTGTCACTATATTTTTGATACTCTGCGGCGCACGGAAAACCAGAATCGTAGCCAAACTCTGACCCAACCTGTCGTCCTGTCAGTTGGGATTGCCAGGAGGCTGTGTGCGGCGGGGGTGTGTGTCGCAATCAATATCTAGTGTTTGTGTGTGTGTGTGTGTGTGCGTCAAGGCCCATTTCATAATTGAAATAATTACGAGCTTTTCTGGTCGGAGTGAGTCGAAATTTTAATTTGCACTGTGAGGAGACTGAAATCCCAAAAATGCCTCACCTATGCAGTTGGAATCTGTGGCCAGCACTCGAAGGGATATTATTCAAGCCGAAAGGAAAGGTATAATCGAGTGCACCGACTAAGGGGTACCCTGTCTGTTTCTCTATGAAATGAATTAGATAGTTAACGTCAGAATACTTGGTTTAGATTATTATTTAGTTTGCGTTACCCTTTCTTATCTACATGTTTTTCGTAAGGAAATCCTCCTGAAACCTATACATTTCCATTAACTCAGCATACCCTGACTGCCACAGCCGTTTAGGGGGTAAAACTAATTTCTCTTACTGTCCATTATCCCCAAAAGTCAGAATGAAAACCAGCCGGCGCACACATCCGCATATATGGCACATAAACATGAAATAGACACTTCCAAAAGTTTGTCAAGCCAATTTGAGCTCACCTACGTCAACATATCCAGTCCGGAAAGCATGGCCCCACCCACCCCCACCAGCCCACTCAGTCAGTTTGGCAGTTTATTGACCGTCTCAGGGCTTTGGCAAAACATTTGCTCCGAAGGCCTTCCACAGTGTTTGCCGGCTTAAATGTCTTCATCTTTATCTCGTTTACCCGCAAATTTGTTTGTATTTTGTCTGCTTAACTGCCAAAACATTCGAACTTGGAGTTTATTTTTAAGTTTTATGTCCACAATCCCCACACAAATACAAACACACACACAAGCATGCATTTTGAGTCCGGGCTCAGACTTGGTCCGGCCAATTGAATATGACAGCCAGTCGAGTTGGCAAGTTTGTCTCTGGCTTTGGGGGGAGTTTGAGTTTCCTGGCTTTTCGGCAAAGAGAAACACTTGAACAGAAAATTAATTTACTTTGGCATTTCCCGTTTCTTGAAGAATCCAAATTAGTTTAATATTTGCACTGGTGAAATTTAAACAAAAAGGCCAGAGATTTGCCAACTCTTTAATTTTATCGCCGCGAAAATGTCGTCGGAAATGTTACGTTACTGTCCTTTTCACTTACCAATAACTTCCAATTCGGCTGCCGCTATTAATGTATGAAACGAGGGCGCATCCGCAGATACTTCGCAACTGTATTTACCGGATGTAGCCATTGTTACCGATTCAAGCACCAATTGGCTCTCGTTCGAGGACACGCGCTGCAGAAAAAAGAGTCAACAAAAGTAAAGGAGCTGTGAGTGCGGGTTCCATGTATTTTATATATATTTTTATTAAATGCCCCATAGCCCCATACAACCATATTTTTTTCCACGTATCGTAAATGCTGTTTGTTGATGAAAAATTGTTCAACAAATGTATCTGCAGGATTCCTTCCGCTCATACATACATATATACATGTATATTTCAAAATAAAGGAGGACGTTTCCATATTTTCATAGGGGCCTACATATTAGTAGTTCTTCTTTAAGGTTTATTAACTGAGCTTAAATAAATGAATGTTAAAGTGAGCTTATTATTTATTTTATTATTTTTTATCCTTTTTTTGTTTAGCCATAAAGCCTTACTGAATTTATAAATAAAATTCACACATTTCTGGATTCAGCGAATATTTGCTTATCATTTTTTCACTGTTCAAAAACCATTTCCATTGTTTTTCCAACATTCGCGTTTAGTTATTGTATATATTTCCCTTCGCTTCGGAATCCCCATTCTATTTGGGAGGCAAACATTTCCATTCTCACTCCATTTTCAACCATTCTAATACAAAATAACTCTTCGAATGCAAAAGAATATGGTTTTATTGTCTTTATTGTCACATGAGTTGGAAAAATAAATTTGAATGAAAAATACGAATACCCACGCAAATAAATAAAATGCCATCGTGCTCCTTTATATGCCTGAATAATTTTCGAACCAATTTAAAAATGCCAATATTTATTCAAAAATATTGCCAGCACCCCGAGAACGCAATTTCGAAACTAAAAAACAAGGCTTGAGACCCAATACGGGATTCTAAATGTACGTTTTTGTTTTTCCGGCTCGTAACTGCCGTGAAGCGGAAGTTAAAAACCGTGTTTTGATTTGATTGTGCATTGAAATTTCACATGTGTCTGCTCCTCCTTGTTAACTGTAGCGTTTCGTTCGATTTGGCTGCCCTGGAAATGCAAATGTTTTACATTGTTGAGGCCGCAACCCGTTTAGTTTGGTTTAATTTATTTTTCTTCCTTCCATTTTTTGTCTCCCTCCCCTTCGATGCAAATGGCAATCCGAAAACCAAAACAAGAATCTGTGGAACGTATAGTTTCTGTTGGTCAGATTTATTGGAATAATATATGTTGGTAGCTAAAAATAGGCACTCGGAAAATAGTACTTTATATGCGGACTCAGGTGAAATGTTAGGAAAATAATCACGAGAGTATAGCTGCCATAAAGTCATATTTTATGGGAAATGGTAATACCAATAATAAGAAAAATAGATTAGATTCTTAATGAATATTTTGATATTCTAACAACCGACTTCAATGGCTAGTTATAACTATTTCTGATACTTTTAAGGCTTTCTTTTTTGTTAAAAAATATCATTTTTAGGCAACTTACTCTCACTTTTAGTCCAGGGAAGTGAAAGATCTTCATCGGCGGTGTCTCCTTGGGCGTGTAGCGGTAAAACTCCCGCCTCCCTCGATACCATTTCACGGAGTACAGGCTGTCGTCCTCGATGTCGTAGAAGCATTTCAGGATGGCCTTGTCGCCCCGCTTGACCGCGTGCGGCACTCGCACCCGGACGTCCCTCAGAGCGGCGGTCAGGCCTGAAATGAAACAATAACACGGGAAATGAAAAACAAACCTCCAACAATTATGTTTAATTATTTAAGGCAATAATGCTTTCAGCGAAAAGGGACTGAACAAACAACTCCCCCGGGCCGTGTCTAATAGAAATCAACTGGAAGCGATAAAAAATCATCGCTCCTCTCATTTTTAATTTACCATTTGCTTTTATTTTATTGTCAATTTTTTTGTTGTCGTTTTGTTTGTTTTGCCGTTTCTTCATTTTGTTTTACGGCGCTGTGCATAATTTATGATGGGCTTTATTATTTGGATTTTTTATTAAATAAATCCCAAACGGATTTTATTGACTCGACAATTCCCACGATATTTTAGATGGTTGGCAGAGCAGCTTTACCCTTCCGGTCGAGAAAGTATGCAGAATCGTAAACAGATTTTACGACTCGTTTTTTATTGTTTTATATTCAATATTTTACTGGGCAAGCTAATAAAATATTTATAATTAACTTGCCTACTTGATGCATACACCATTTAATTCCCTTTTATATTATTTGAAAGAGTAACTTTATGTCGACTTTTCAGTAGTGAAAATTTGACATTTTTAATATCTATTCTGATCACGTATTGACATGACTTTCAGCAAGGTTTTATGCCACAAATCTCTAACTGAACACTCGCACACATATTTTTATAGGTATATATTTTAATATATATAATGCAGAATGTGGCGGACATTTGTACACATGTCCGATTCCCTGTTTTACTACCCGGGCGTTTTTTAGGACCAGGTCTGGGGCATTATAAATCAGCTTATGGCCAACGACAGGACAGAAAAAAGGCTTTGTGTAACCAGAGACTCGTTCCACCTGTTTGCCTTTATCGCTCGCCGTCAATAAAATATGAATAAATTGTTCCCTGATTATGTGAGATGAAATTAAAAATCATTTTTATCCTCTTTCACTTTCCATGTCGTAAAAGGCGATCAGACATTTGAGGGATATTCCCAAATCCAGCAGAAGCAATAAATTTTGTATTTTATGGTATGCATAAGCTTGTGATTGAAATTGAGTGCTTAATAAAAACAAAAAGTGGGATAACTGCATGGAAATTCATGTTCTCTGAAACAAAGAGTGTTTGCTAATTAAAACACTTGTTTTGCAAAGTTCTTACCACCTTCAACTGTTATTTTTATATTCCCTTTTTAATGAAAGAATTGCAACTCCACCTTAACCACATGAAAGGACTCAGAACACAGATCCCTGGAACTGTAACCCCTCGGAACCTAATCAAACCTGTCACGACCTGAGTGCCTCTTCATTATCACGAAACTGAAGCCACAAAAAATGGAAAACTTCCATCAACCGAGCTTCACATTTGAGACACATTCACAAACTGCAGCCTGCAGCTCAACGTCCCCGAATCCCCAGTCATTGGATTAGACTTTCTGGCTGCTCCACTGTCATTTAGCGCCTTCAGCCCTCTGTGGCTCTGTGGATATGGGGGCGCCCATTTCATGCCACACTAAATAGACAAGGTTGCAACAATCCGGCGGCAAACGAATGTCCAAACAAACCGGCACGAGTGCGGGAGGTGCTTTGTAAATCCCATCAAATAACTGTAATTGCAAAGTTTTTACAGCCAGACACCAGGGCAGGCCCAGGCCCAGGCACAAGGACAATGCACATGCAGCCCAGCCATTTGACTAGGGAGGCGGTGCTGTAGCAATCCCAGGACTCTTCATGGAGGACGGAGTCCTGGGGAGCTGGCTCTGCGCCCCACAACGTGTGCAATAAATATGAATAACGAGCACAACGTGAGTGGCACACAAAGTAAAAACGAGACCGCACTCGTCGTTGCTGTGCGGCAGTGAAAGGGCATCCAGCTATCCTGCCATCCGGCCACCCACGTTCTGATTCCTTAGAGAGGCGCACAGCCCCCATTGTTGGCGACACGCGGCGGCAAATATTTGCCCCTGCCACTGCCACAGCCTTTGTTTAAATCTTGTTTATGCAACATGCATGGCATATATTAAGGAGTGCCGACCAGTCCCGAGTGTCAAGCAAGTGTCCAAGCTGCCCAGTGATTTACACCAGGCAGCCGCCAGATTGGAGTGCTCCGAGTGTTGCTACAGCTAACAGATTGCTCTGTGAGTTGCTCACTTTTGCGCCGCCAAAGGACTTTAGTTCGATTAAGCCACGCAGCGTATAATAGAATTGAGCGAAGGACTTTCAGGATCCTCGGTACCTGATTACCTGCTCTCGGGTTATGCAATCCATTATGGCAGCCAGCTTGGATTTATATAAATGTTCAAGGTGTCTAAGAATTTATGATTTAGTTTTAGTATTTATTATATTATTGTATTTAATTTGCTACTTCGACCCAACTTTTGACTCTTGACACTCGACGACATCCTGGGCCACACAATTTGACCATCCACCTCCTTGGAGGTGAATTAAATTCCAGCTTGGGCTCTTGCATATAAAACTCTTGGCTGCTCAAATTACGGGACATTGTGTCAAAGCATATTTCGGAAAACTTACGGCCAGCTAATTGAAAAGGGTAAAGCCGAAGGAGGGCAAACTGAAAGTTTGGCCAAGCGGAGCCACATTATGACCTGGACTGGCACACAGTTTCACTTCCACATGAACTGCTGGGCCAAGAGCAGCAGCGTTTGCCTCACTGACCACACAGTTTGCTTGAAGAAACTGGCTACGAATTCCTTGGGCAAGAGGAAACTTTCCAAAGTCCAAGTTTACGGAGCTCGGCTTTTGAAATGTGCATGATGTCGAGATACACTTGTGCAACAGATGGGCGAGCTGCAAGCTGGCATTTTGAGATTCTATTAGCTGCAGCGCGAGCAAAGTTCCCCGAGTTGGCCAGCAATTTTGTACCCCCACTCAGCCTTGGCGGATGTCCTGGCCTGGAGAAGTGGCGCCAAATTTATCATAATTTGTGCTGACACTAAAAATGTAAAACCGTATCTCTGTGCAACCCAATAGGAGTGGCGGTGCCGCCGCCACATCATATCGGGCACTATTACTGTCTCGACGCTGCACAGTCATTATTCAGTCAGATTTGACTGCCATCTGGGGTTATCAGCCCCGGCCCATCCTTGGAGCGGGGGAAGGTCCCTGACGGGGATGTTTATTCGGGCGGGCGGACTTGTCGCCAACGCGTCGGGGGGGATGTGGATACGGATGCTCGACTCGACGGTCCGTCGTCCTTTGGGGGTGGCTTGAAAAATTGTTGACAATTTCAGCTTAATGCATTTTTATGTCACTTCTTCTGGTTTGGCGAAAATGAATGCTGCTGTTGTTTGTCCTGCGCAAACACAAGCACACTCCTTCTTCTGTCAGTCAGTCACCCACACATGTGCAGCAGTCCTTGCATTTGTAGGACCACCAATTCTGACCAAGTCGTTTCCCCGCCAGCTGCACGGAAAGAAAATGGATGAGGCTTAATAATATTAATTAATAGAAATGCCTTCAGGTTTTTTTAAACATTTGTTTGCTTAAGTTGCTTGATAATCCTGTTTATTTTAAGATTGAAAAATAATATTTTTAAAAATTAAGAAATTACCCAAAGGCATCTATTTTTCTCCGGTGTGTCTTTGCCGGATGGTTGGAGCCATTCAGCGCCAACATTCAGGACTCAGACCCTGTGTCTGTCCTTTGTGTTTATTATGAAATTTAAGCACAAAAACCCCGTGACGGTCTGGCTACCCCCTTTGTTTACGCTTAAAGAGCCTGGGTCTTTGGTGTTTGCCATTTAATGGCACATTTTCCACTTTTGCTCACAGACAAATCGTAGTCGGTTGGCTTTTTGGGGGTTGTTTCATTAAATTTAATGTCCTCCGCTCTGTAATTGTGAACAGATTTTAGCAATGGCGAAGCGTAGAAGCAAAAAAGTTGTGATTACAAATGGCCTCCATTAGACTCTGATTATTTTATATATATTTTTTTAGAGAAATTAATAGCATTTTTTCCTTTAAACTGAACTTAATACATTTTCATCTTTGACATCTCTTTAAGTCTCTGCTCTTTTATAATTAACTACATTGCCCATCGGATTTAATAGCCGCTATTATCACTTTCGCAGACATAAAAAAGTAAAAAATGTGGGAGATCCAACAAGTCGCAGCCACTTCTCCTTCACAGAGAGGAAGGACCAAAGCCAACTGAACATCCTTGGCCATTTATTTAAAAACTAAATAAGACAAGCATCGCTAAATCGCCAACTAAGCTCATAAAATCCCACGAACAAGTGCCCAAGTGTAAGGCAACGTGGGAAATGTTCAAGTATGAGGCGGAAGTCGGGGAGGAAATGGATTGAAAGAGATAGCGCAGCACAGTTGGGAGGTGAAAAGCTATGAAAAAGTGCAAGGATCAAACAACTGAAAGCGAGGCGCACTCACACAGCTGTGCTAAATAATAAAGGAAAAATGGGAGAGGCAAAAAAATGGTAGCCTCCGGCAGAGAAATGAAAAGAAAAATAAAGTTCAGTGCCTCGACTATGAGTTTTGTCGTAATCTGTTCCTTTTAAGTTGGAAATAATACACAAAAGTATGCTGGGAAAATATTTAAAATAAATTTAAAAAATATATCAGAATGCATTTCAATCTTGTAACAATTTCCTATGCACCCTGGAGTGTGCTCTACTACATATTTGTGCATCTACTATATACCCTTCTTGCCGTGGAGTACCGAGTGGCAAGCGGTGTTGCATATGGTGCCTGGTCCCCCGTCGAAACCAACACCCCTAGCCCTCGACTCACGCCTTTGTGCGGCGTTTCTAATCTAACACTGGAAATTGTGCAGGAATTTGTTGCAATGAGCTTTTTATTATCCATTTTCGATCTAGCCTCTCGCTTTGGCACTCACACACTCGAGAGGGTCTTCCTTTTTTCTTTTTTTTTGAGGGGATTTTTGCACGCTTTTGCATTCCTTTTCCGATGCGAGCGGTGAAAATTGCAGTGCCAGCGTGTTTTTCTGGCCAGGAGCACAGGTGGAAATTTATACAGCTA